CCCCCTCCCCGATCCCTCCCCCCCTCTTCCTAAAATATAGAAAATGATTTCCAAATTAAACCCAAATACTGTGTGGATGCTTAAATCTCCTTTAAAAATACTAAACATATATATACTGGATGGTTACTTTAAGGACGATGTTGTCATGGGAACTCTGTCTGTGAAGGAGAACTTCCACTTCTCTGCGGCTCTTCGCCTTAGCAAGTCCGTCAGTCAAAAGGAGAGGGATGAGCGGGTAGAGAATGTCATCAAGGAGCTCGGGCTCACTCATTGTGCAGACACAAAGGTGAGAGGTCAAACGCGAAGGTGGAAGTTCAATATCAAAGCTAAAGGTCAAATATGAATTTGAGATATACTTAACATGAAGGTAAGAGGTCATGCATCAGGTTTAGATAATCAAGACAAAAATGATCACGAGAGGGCAGGTCATGATCACGAGAGGACAGGTCATGATCATGAGAGGTTGAACAAAAGGTGAACTGGTGAGAGCTTATGCTGGACAGGAAGATCATATGTTAGACACAGATAAAAGAGGTCGGATATCAAGGTGAAAGGTCATAAGTCAATAAGAAGTTGTACAATGCAGAAGCGAGAGGTTCACGTACAAAGTTAGACACAAAACACAAAAGTGTGATGCTAAACACATGCATATACAATAAGTCAACTTAAAGAGGTTAGCTGTAGGTCATAGTTCAGATAGAACGGTTTAAATAGAGGTTACTGTCAATCCTTTGAGAAAAGGATGATAGCTGAAAGGTCAAAGTATAAAATGAAATCTGGGGAAAATTCTAGATAGTGTTTTTTCGAATATAGATTATCAAATACAAGAAATGTGCCCTTTTTTTATAAATTGTGGATAGGCTTGACAAAGAGGTATGGCGGAAAACTGCCCGTATTTCCCTAAGTCGGCATTTATGAAAACGGGGAAAAAAATTGAGGAGAAAACATTTCGTGTAGCAAAAATGCATACAAAAGATACAAAACCAATTGAATATGAATTTTTAAACTGCTGAGAAATTAGGTATTGCTAAAATGATACTGCAAATATAGCCATATACACTATATCTATGAAAGTGATGGGGTTTCCCGGACTTAAAAAAATACTTTCAACACTCTCCCATCCGAGGACTAACTTTTGAATAAACTTTTTGTGATCGTGATGTAATGTGCAAAAACAAATCATATTACGGAAAAGTGGTCCTCCTTTGGGAAAGTGCTCAAAATAATGAAAACAGGGGTGATCAAGTTTCTCTAAACTGCGACCGGTGTTTCTCGGGTTAAATAAGTTTGTAATTGCCAATATCTATATGTTTTATGTAGCCGAATGTATAACGCAGTTTACTTGCGACTAGAAAATAAACGGTGCAGGTTCGAATCCTCCTTCATTTTTTTTTTTTTTAATATTTAGGCATGTGATCATTTTCCTTAATAAGGCAATNGTAATATAGCTTTGGGGAAATAGGTATAGCAACCCGCCATATCTCTTTACGTATCCTCCTTGGAGAAGACAACTAGTCAAGTGTTTATTATTGCCAATTTTCTAAATCATAAGAAGCAGGATGGCCGACATAATACAAATATTTTACATACTTTGTAGGTTGGAAATGAGTTTATCCGTGGAGTGTCTGGAGGAGAAAGAAAAAGGACCAATATCGGCATGGAGTTGATTATCTCCCCTCCGGTACTTTTCCTTGATGAGCCAACCACAGGACTTGATTCCAACACAGCAAATTCTGTCATGCTATTGCTACGCAGGTGATAAGCTTACTAATAGATAATAACTCTATATATTGGCTGAGATATGCTGAGAATCCTGATGTGTCTTTTATTGGTTAATACAAAACATATTTTGAAAAAAGCTGATAATTCTTTGATTTCATATTTTACTATTGAAGAAATGCATGATTGGTTATTTGACAACAGCCTACAGGCAGACTGGTTATTTGACAACAGCCTACAGGCAGACTGTTGTATTCTATATACATGTTTATCTGGTAACAGTGTACAATTTGGTTGTTCTTTCCCAACCATCCATCTACTGCCGATGTTTTTAGTGTGTATATTGTTGTTGACAGGTTGGCTCTGAAGGGACGCACCATCATATTCTCCATTCACCAGCCTCGCTATTCCATCTACCGTCTGTTTGACAGCCTCATGCTCCTCTCCCTAGGCGAGACTGTGTATCATGGCAGCTCGCAAGAATCTCTTGAACACTTCCAAGCATTAGGTAAATACTTGTCAATCTATCTATGATGTTACTGAAGCTACTAAAATTGATGTCTACAATGTCACCAAAGGTTTAACTAATAGAGGTATTACTGTATTCCTTTTATGATCTGTAATGATTTTATTATGACATTATCATACATTGAAGATTTTAGAAAAGGAAGAAATACAAAACAGATAGCAGATTTTTCTATTGTTTATAGTACTATTTTTATACTATCCAGCAACAATGCTTTAACCATCTGACTTAAGACTTTATGTACCTTTTCCCTAACAAAATACCATGAGTCGGTTTTTGAGTACCCTTGGCTAGCTGTCAAGGTTGTGATAACTGTTAGCTTCCATTTAGAATGTGCTATAGTATATAGTTGAGCCTCTTTGATTTGTGCAGTCACGCCTATTCCCTACTCTGTGGCTACATTATAATGTGACTGTATTTCTGAGACAGTGCACCGAAACCACCAGATCAGTGGTGACAGGATAGTGGGACAACTGGTTCAGTGATGACTGGATAGTGGGACAACCAGATTAGTTGCTGGGTAGTAGGACAACCAGATTAGTTGTTGCTGGATAGTAGGACAACCAGATTAGTTGTTGCTGGATATTAGGACAACCAAATTAATGGTTGCTAGAAAAGTGGGACAACCAGATCAATGATGACACGAGTTAAGAGATTCGTTAAAGATACAAGACGCTTTAACTAGATTACACTTACTTGTTTATCTCATCACTTTGCTGTGTGGAATGATACCAGTACATACTTTTAGTATTTGCTCTGTCCTCCAGCATCATTTTAATTGCCATTTTTTTGTAAAATCTAGTTTTTGTACAACAATTATCAAAAAATTAATAATGACATGCAAATATCAATATTCATGTACATAATATACATGTTTTATCATTACTTCAATTCAATATGATGTGTGTAAACTGTTTATAACTGTAAGGAGAGGGCGCTCATAGGCTTTGCCTGTTGCCCAATTCCTTTGTATCTAAGATCTGAACAATAAATATTCTGAAATGAAAAATGATGACACGATAGTGGGACAACCCGATTAATTTTATTGGTGTCTGGATAGTGAGAAAACCAGATAAGTGGTTGCTGGATAGTGGGACAACCAAATCAGTGGTTGCTGGATATTGAGACAACCAGATTAGTGGTGACTGGATAGTGGGACAGCCAAATCAGTGGTTGCTGGATATTGAGACAACCAGATTAGTGGTGACTGGATAGAAGGACAACTAGATAGTTGGACAACCAGATCAGTGGTGACTGGATAGTAGGACAACTAGATAAGTGGTTGCTGGATATTAAGACAACCAGTTTAAGTGGTGACTGGATAGTAGGACAACTAGATTTGGTGGCTGTTAAGTTGGACATAATAATGTTGGAGCAATACTTTTTTTATGTTTTATTTGTAAAGTCCTGTGTCTATATTTTTAACTGATATTGATATTGTTACAGGTTATGTGATAGAGGAACACAATAATCCTCCTGACTTCTTCCTGGATGTCATCAACGGAGACCTGTCCATGGCTAGTTTGTCTGATGACTTCCTCCAAAAGGATGGTAAGTACCACCTCCTCAGCCTCTTTACCTCCTCCAAAAGGATTGTATGTACCACCTCCTCAGCCTCTTTACCTTCTCCAAAAGGATGGTAACTACCACCTCCTCAGCCTCTTAACCTCCTCCAAAAGGAGGGTAAGTACTACCTCCTCAGCCTCTTTACCTTCTCCAAAAGGATGGTAAGTACCACCTCCTCAGCCTCTTTACCTCCTCCAAAATGATTGTATGTACCACCTCCTCAGCCTCTTTACCTCCTCCAAAAGGATGGTAAGTACCACGTTCTCAGCCTCTTTATTTGCAAGGCATAGAACATTGATAGAAAAACTAAGGTATGAGGTATTAAGGCAATGAAAATGCTGACAGAGCAGCTAGAACTGAATTAAACTCCCAGCAAACCAATATCAAACTGCCACATACAGATTTTAAACCCATAATACGATCAGACATTCAAAGTAAATGGCAGCAACGATAGTCTCTAGACACCAATGGCGGGGGGTCATACTTATCTTGTCCATGCTTATCGGCTAAATAGGGGAGATCCACCTAATTGCCACGCATTTGACTCTCCATTTACAGTGGAGCTCATTGTGTCGCCTGCGAAAAGCTGGTGACACATAGGTATTGCTTTGTTGGCGGCGTCCGCACAGAGGTTTTCGTGCGATAACTCGAGTTTCCTTGGGCCGATCAAACTCAAACTTAATGCAGTGCTTCCTAACCAAAAGTGCTTACTTGGGATTACTTTTCAGGTCGGAAGGTCAAAGGTCAAGGTCACTTACTATAAATAGAAAATCTGTTTTCGTGCGGTAACTTGAGTTTCCTTGGGCCGATCAAACTCAAACTTCATGCAGTGCTTGTTGTGGATTGCATTTTCAAGAAAAATTTGATGGATACCAATGAGGTGATGCTGGTCTTGCTTGTTGCCAAATAAGGGCATTATGTGGTAAATGCAAGAACCTTTTTTATTTTCTAATCAATTCCTTTCAAATTTTGTACAGTAATGCTATAACTAGAAGCAATAATGTTTAACATATATTACAGGTTTTTCTAACGAGTTTCAACTTTCAGCGTTTTGGCATATCTGTTAACGTGATAACTAAAGCCATAACACTTTTCTTACTCAAAGCGCTGAGCAGGGGACACATCTGCTCCCGTGGAATTCTTGTTTTAATAGAGTGTTCAGATTTTAGATACATTCGTGATAAATACTTCACTGTCACAGGCATGAAAACTATTTTCACTTCTGTAGACTTGGAGACATTACTCAACTTTATAAAGACATTGGTCTGTTTTATAAACTGTGATTCCATTCACCCACATGACACTTTTTTTAACTTTATTTATGCATATCTCTTTCAATTTCTATCTTTACACAATATTTTTAACTAAATTTTAATATTTTACCCTCGTCACTATTGCAACTCTATAAGCCCATCTTGCTTATGATTTTATAAGATAAACAGACGTTTTATATGATTTTTGAAGAACAGAATGGTTTTAGAAAAAATAGAAGTTGTCTTGATCATCAATACATTTTATATTCTATTTTAAACAATAGGAAAATTGGGAAACAATCTGCTTTGTCGATTTTAATTTTGATTCCTCAAATGGTCATGCTCCATACGAAAAGATTTTTCTGGCCCTAAAATGACCATTACTGTCGATGGGCCATTCAAACAAAGAAACTGTCCACTTTAATACTGATCTGTTTCTGGCCCTAAATGACCATTACTGTCGATGGGCCATTCAAACAAAGAAACTGTCCACTTTAATACTGATCTGTTTCTGGCCTTGTTCACTTTAATAAGTATTGTTTGCTTACAGATAAATTGAGTTTGATCACCTCAGAAGAAGGAAAAGGTAAGTCGTGTTAATGTCCTATAACAAGGGTAATGGGAAATCTTCATGTATTAAACATGATATATATATAGAAGTATATAAAAAAAACTACACGTGCCCAGTTTTACAAAGCTTTGTTAATTTAAGATAATGTTGTATTGTGATTTTGAGATGTTAACATACGTATATAAATTATGAATTTCAATACTATGCATTTATTTTTGTTCAAGTTTTTAACAATATAGTAATACATGTACACGGAAACATTTCTGTAATGAAGAGTTTTTCTGACAAAAGCGGATGTTTACATTTGTTCAGACATTGCATAACAGGGTCATGCTACACTGTAGTTATCATATACTACAAAGCTTTTATCATACCTTATCTGCTAACCCTTTATACCGAGCATTCTGTAGATAATGGCTGACTTGTTCATGCTCATTACACTACACAGCGGTATGCATGTATTGTGGTAAAAAAACAATGAACTGTAAAGCTCAAAGCAAATTGTCTTTATCAATTTGCTCTGTGTGTAGGCACTGAATGTCTTTTCCATATAGTAAAAATTTGACAGCATGCTAGAAAGTTTGTCGGATTATAACATGCATTAAGATAAGTAATATTTTGGGATATTGAAGGAGAATAGAGATTTTACTATTGGCCTTTGCTATATAGCAGTTACTTACAGGGAGTTGATACACTTACAGTTTAACTCATTCACCCCTGAAATTTCATAATGAACTATTCCAACCTTTGAATTGGAAGAGTTCAAATGTGTCTTCAGGTGTGAATGAGTTTAATTGTTTAATATTATAAAATAACATGTGCAGATCAATCTACAGTAAAACCTTGTTATACTGCCACCATTTGAGATATTTTGTCATTATAAAGGGGTTTGGCAATAAATTTAGGGAAATGTGTAAATTCAATCTTAAAAAAACCCAAGAAAAAGGGACATTGAAATATGTTGGTGGTAATTATATATAAACAAGGAGGCAGATGTAACAAAGGGCGTTATATTGAGGTTTCAGTGTGTGTTCTTTCTCTAAACGTACCCGTTTCTACAGGTAAAACAATGCTTTAGTAAGTTATATGTTTTAATCAAGTAAGAGCAAAACACTTATTTATTTAATGTAGTGTATTGTTATTTTTAATTTTGCTTTGGGATATATATAGCTTTAAACCTATCATACAGAGATGTAAATAAGATGCCAGTTTTAAACAAACTGATATCATATTGATAAAAGTAATATGATTGATGAATGCAAAGTAAGATTTAAACTTGCCAGACTGAGTGTGATGATTGCTAAGAACTACCTGTGATTGACCAGTTATGAAAACAGGAAGATTCTCTCATCAGTGTCTAGTCTCTAGACTAGTAAAAACTACAGATATATTTATTGGAGCATATAATGCTTGATTTCATATACGATTTAACTTGATACTTAAGTAAAATGAACACGAACAATAAGTTATCCTGAAGAATGTATTTCTGAATAAATATATATTTGTATTTGCAGAATCTCATATTTTCTTGACTATCCTTTTTCGGTTGCAGTAAAACTTACACAATACAGATATTCAGATATGATAATGTGAAGTTGGAACTTGACACCTTAAAATAGTGTGACAGGTTTTAAATGTATATATATAATTACAGTCACCTTCCAAGATCATGCTAGAGAGAATTTCACTGTAGCTTATCAATCGGTTGAGCGGCTTACTGGTTCAATCTCCGGAAAAAAGCACACTACCAGGCTCGGGGGGTACTGTCTTTCCTGTTACAAAAGTTTTTACTATATACAATATATCTGCTATTGTAGACATGAGACAAAAACAGAAACTCTTTTGAGGTGTTGAGAATCCTACTACTCAGACTTGTTATATGCTTGCTGGTGGCAGTCTCTATTTGTAATCTTTTGCTTACTCTTCTTGAACAAAAGCTTGGGGCATGTCCTCTTGTATATAGTAAACAGAAATCCAGCTTATAATGCATGAATCATTAAGTTTTTTAAAGTGTCTGGCAGTTCTATTTCTGTTGGTACTTTCATTTACTATTCACAGATTTTGTTTTGTAGATTCTTACATACATTTGTTCCTAACCTTTTATTGCTTTATTTTATTCATCTTTGATGCTGCACACAGAACCTGTAGCAGCGAATGGCCTTGGTATGGATTGTCTCCTTTTGGTGCTCCTATTTGCTAATGTTTCAATACATTAATATACTGTGCAAGTCATGCTGTACAAAGTCATCAGTGATGTGACAGAAAACTGTTGCAACCAAATAGATCTGTCTTTTTGGTTTCTCAAAACATCTGAAATAAGATTCTTTACCTGAATTCAAAGAACAAATCTTGACTAGGATTTTAATATATATGTATTTTTGCTTAGATAGTACCAAACCTTTTTACTAAGATAATTATAATTAAATACTTATTAGAAATCCATTGTAACGTGGATGTCAACATGAACAGGATTTATAACCTAAGCTTTTATTACTTTGCTTGTAGATATCTATCATTGGAACCAATTTATTTGTCAAAGGAAAAGTAGATTGACTAGGATTAATACTTTTGAACCATAAGCAGTAGAGTTATGTTACATATTTCTTAATCTTTTGTTTCCAGGGGCTAAAAATACCCATGATAAGCTTGTAGATGGGTACAAGAAGTCCCGCTGGTACCAAAGGTATGTAATGAACAGTACAGTTGTATATAACAATTGTACTTTATTTGACCTTATAAATGCCTTATTCCTATTTGACCTTATAAATGCCCCATTCCTATTTGACCTTATACATTCCCCATTCTTATTTGACCTTATAAATGCCCTATTCCTATTTGACCTTATAAATGTCCCATTCCTATTTGACCTTATAAATGCCCCATTCTTATTTGACCTTATAAATGCCCTATTCCTATTTGACCTTATAAATGCCCCATTCCTATTTGACCTTATAGATGCCCCATTCTTATTTGACCTTATAAATGCCCTATTCCTATTTGACCTTATAAATGCCCCATTCCTATTTGACCTTATAAATGCCCCATTCTTATTTGACCTTATAAATGCCCTATTCCTATTTGACCTTATAAATGCCCCATTCCTATTTGACCTTATAAATGCCCCATTCTTATTTGACCTTATAAATGCCCTATTCCTATTTGACCTTATAAATGCCCCATTCCTATTTGAACTTATAAATGCCCCATTCTTATTTGACCTTATAAATGCCCTATTCCTATTTGACCTTATAAATGCCCCATTCCTAAAATGCCCTATCGTATTTCTAGTCCTGGTGTATCTTCACCGTGATTTACTTCTTAATTGAAAAAGGGTCAGTTATGATAACTTTATTTTAGAATTATGGAATTCTGCATACATTTTAATATTCTTCAACAGCGAAGCACCTAGGACACTTACTAGAGGAAATATACCGTAACACTTTGTATTACTAGTAGTAATTCCTAGAAATAATTGCTTGAACCATTAGCTAACACAGAATTTGAACATCATTAGAAAATGACGATTATTCAAGGTTGGTTATTTCTGTGTGTATACCTGAACTTAGTTACAAAGTCAAAAGATCAAAAGTCTTTTTGTGAAAAGTATTTTGAAACATATTGATGAATATGAAAACTACAAATGCACACACAGACATGATGAATTAACTTCCAAGATGACGAGGCTCGAGGTAAAAAGTCACCAATTCTGTTTCAAAATTGACTTGTATTTATTGTTGTAGTCTCCAGTCCCATGTACAGACAGTCCACAAATCTTACATGGAAAAGAAGGAAGCAGGCACTGTAGTGAGAATGCCTAGAGTGGACTATGCCACCTCCTTCTTCAACCAGGTAGGGATGAAATATCGGGTTACCAACTGGTTAAACACAGAGTGTGTAATGTACAGGACTAATTTACATGACCTTGTTTGTCAATAAAGACCAAAGTTTGTTATGGTTCAAATGACCTTATTTGTCTTTATAAAATAAAGACCAAAGGATAACATTGTTTGAACTGTCAAATTGCTTGTAACTGACTTGGCTAGAGGAAATTCCACCCAGCTCAGTTGCAAAAGCACCGGACCAGTAATTTGTAGTCTAAGGTTCAACTTCTAGCAGCCTACCTCCTGGAAGATATTTAGCAACAGTTAAATTTGATGTATATGCATGCTTGTCCTGCATAAATTTCTGAATTTGTCCATTCAAGTAAGTCGATAGTGATCTTTAAGTCATCTGAAAAGGACAATACTATGGGTCAGATTTCATCTTGCAGACATTTTGTTGCAGTTAAGATGAAATATTTTATTTCTAATTTTTATTGAAATTTAAATGCAGCACTAAATTAGGATCAAATTGCAATAAAGATTTTTCTGTCAAGGGTAAGAAAGGGGTGTAGGAAATTTCTATCTTACACCTCATTTCACGTGACGTGACGTCACAATGGTCCAACAATGACATGACGTCACGAATTTGTAACTCTCCGATGCCGCAATGCGGAAAAAAAGGCGACGTGATGAAATTAAAACCTTTTACAATATTTTTACTGTACACGTTAAAAAGATATGAGTAATTTTTCAAATGTTTGCAAATTTGTTTTTGTCTAAAAAGCTCAGGGGGAAATTGATATTTTCCTCAAAAAGGTGGCCAGTCCAAACGCATTTTCATGGTTTCTAGGCTTTTCTGGTGGTTGGAATGAGAGAAAAATACTCTTTCATGCTCAAGGGTGTAGGATAGGGAAATTCCACCCTCAGGATTTTCAAATTTGAAAGAGTCTTATATTATTTAATTCCATTCACATTTTTTCTTCTTTCCAGTTTTCTGTAGTGTCCAGCAGGACTTTGAAGAATTTGATCAGAAATCCCCAGACATCGATAATGCAGGTACGTTCTCATTTTATTTTCTGCTCCACTCTCTTCAATCTGTGATGTGAGATGCTGTTTTTAACCTCAGGGCTGGAATTAATTAAAAAAGATTACTGGCCATAAAAGGTCTAGTTGGAGTGAAAATTCACTGGTACCGTCCAGTCTGAAGCACACTGGTCCAGAAAACAAGGGCCATAGGCCTGAGTGATCAGTGCCAGAGGCTAGGGGGGGTGGGGGATCAGAGAGGGAACATTTTGAAATCTAGAAGCTCTGTGGTGCATTCTGGACTTAAAATAAAGCTTTTCAAATCTGCTGAAATTGTAGATAAATTTTCAAAACATCTACTGGCCTGGCAGGATAGCTTGTTGAAAACCTACTGGTCCGCCTGGAAAACCACTGGCCATTTGTGTTTTCATATCCACTCCTTCTGTAGTCATTCATTCTGTCTGTAGTCATTCTGTCTGTAGACAGTTCTTGTTATCACTATTTCTAAGTACTCGATAGATCTTATTCAAATTTTATAAACAGGTTTTCTTGGGACCTATATAGCTAGTTATGCAAAATTTCATAAATTCAGCTTGAAAGTATTATATATAAATCATTTATTGATGGTCAGGCTATACTACCTCAAATGGTTAAAAAATATACCAATTACTTTCGTTGATACGCATTATTTAGGCTCAAAAGAGATAGTCGTATTTGTTTTGTTAATTATTAAAACCTTTAGTCAAGGAGTTATTTAGTTCTGAATGTTTTGAATGTAAAATATTTGAATGATCCTTTCCTTCATGTCCAGCAAAGCCTAAACATAGCAGATCTGTTTTGGTTTCTTCACTGTCCCCATAGCTTAAGACACAGAAGAAAGGCCCTGATTCTACAGGGGGCCATATTTAATTAGTATTCTGATTCTACATGGGGCCATATTTAATTAGTCACCTGATTCTACAGGGGGCCATATTTAATAAGTCACCTGATTCTACAGGGGGCCATATTTAATTAGTATTCTGATTCTACAGGGGGCCATATTTAATTAGTATTCTGATTCTACATGGGGCCATATTTAATTAGTCACCTGATTCTACAGGGGGCCATATTTCATTAATCACTTGATTCTACAGGGGGCCATATTTAATTAGTCACCTGATTCTACAGGGGGCCATATTTCATTAGTCAGGGCCATATTTAATTAGTCACCTGATTGACAGGGGGCCATATTTAATTAGTCCCATGATTGACAGGGGGCCATATTTAATTAATCACCTTTTACCACATATAGTGGCATACAGCGGGCCTATTATTTCCCAAAACCAGCAGGAGAGTTACAGATTGGTATTTTCGAGATTACCAGTACAAATAGTGATAGATCGAGAAAATTTCCCCGGGGCAACAACACTATTTTGATATAGACAGTGCTGGACAAGAAAGAGGAGTCATTTATTCAATATTTTTGGCCCTCCAAACATCCGGCCTTAGAAAGGTGGAGAAATAATACAGTAGGTACTACCGGCTCCCATTCATAAGAGAGGATTCCAACAACTTCTTTTTATATAAATACTTCATGAACTATGACTTAATATCACCAAATACCGGTACTCGAACAAACATTGCGGTATGTTACCGCAGAATAAAAAATAATCCCAATAACTGATATTAGGGGAATGTTGCCTAACCCTATTACACACACTGCTTGGTTGGTTAGTGGACGGGTTTTTCTTCTACATGACTCCACCCATACAGGTTTCATCTCGCTGACGGAGGTCAGTGTTCTGTCCGCATGAATACATGTACAGAGAGTATTGGTCTCCATAGGTGTTGGTGATGGTGGTGTTCGGAGCTATAGTGGGCGCTATCTACTGGCAGATTGATGATGATTGTACATCAGGCATCCAGAACAGGTAACTACAACATATATCTGTAATGTCTGGTACAGACGATAACAACTGTGTAACCCTGGTAACAATACTTTGTACTTGTAATGTGTAACTTTTGAATAAGTAACTTTTGAATAATTGTATGTTTTATCAAACTTGATAGTTGAGTATACGCAAGTATATGTTTGTATTTATGGAGGAATTTTACCAGAGAGATTTCTGATGTATTATAATCTCTCTGGTATGTATTTTTGACTGTTACAGAGTAGGGGTGTTCTTCTTTGTGGTAATGAACCAGGTGTTCGGGAACCTCTCTGCTGTGGAACTCTTCATCAAGGAGCGAGCAATCTTCTTGTAAGTCATGACCATAAGTAATGCCTCAATCATTTCATGATCTTGGCAGTAGTTTAATACAATGTATGACCTTGACAGTTTCCTATGAATATTTTATTTGAGATTTTAAATGTTACCAGTATGTAAACTTGTACTAAGGCAATAAATACTCTGCAATGATTTTTGTTTTCATTCTTTCTTGGACAGCTAACTAATTGGAGTAAAATGATTAAATATTTTTACCATCTGTTGTGTAGTTAATTTACAATGAAGGAAACCAGGTAACTTATAATGGTATGATTTGCAGACATGAGAATGTGAGTGGATTCTACCGAGTGTCGGCCTATTTCTGCTCCAAGATATTCTGTGATGTTATCCCAATGAGGTTGATACCTGTGTCTATATTTGCCGTCATCACCTACTTCATGATAGGTAAGTTCTACAGGAAATAAAAAAACACTTCAAAGAGAATGTTGTAATCGGACAGTCAAAATAAATTAACTTCCAGCTACTTGACCCTGGAACCATATTTATGAAACCATTCTCATGCTCAAGCATAAATTCTGTGCTCAAACGAACTTTCTTCTCACTCACTTAAATCATGTCATACAGTCAAAAGTCCAGTAAAATCATTGAAAACAGGTTTAAAGGCTGGAAATGTCTCCATAATTCTTCAATATCATTGATCACAGAAACAAGATATTGGGTTGAGCACAAAATCTAAGTTTGAGCATGAGAAAGGTTTCATGAAACCATCCTTATCTTAATGATACACTATGATGATATTTGAATGTGTGATATTTTCGTATTTATTAAGACAAAATATTTCCTGGGATACAACATTATCCCCCTCACACCTAACGATTCCTGTCCCACACTAAACACTAGAGAGTTCTACTGTAGTTTTCTTACATATGGTTATCTCCCTTTGATTTTCTGTTTGGCTGTAACTGCAATGTGTCTAGGACAAGGATCAAACCTTGGCCAAGCCCAGTTACAGCCACTGTTATTGATGCCAGAAAGAAAAGAAAAATTCAAAACACGGTAAAAGAAACAGAACAGGCAGTGGTACAGGGATGCTTGATTTTTTTAATAATTTTTACATTTACTGAGATTCAACGTGCCCATCCAAACACCTTATTTCTGCACATATCAAACAAAAACTGATTTAAAAGCTTGTTGCTCCTTCACTGAATTTCGATTTCTAATTTGCCGCAGGATCATAAAGCAGATCTTTAACTTATAAATTAAACGCAGTCATATATAAGTAGATCTTTTTTGGAAAATCAACATGAAGTTAGTAATTTATTTTTCCTATTTCTGTTTATTACATAATTGTACTTATTTACCAGGCCTAACGGATATACCTAGGGAACTTCTTCAACCTTCTCTTCTATTTCCTTGTATTATATAACTGTACTTTATATACCAGGCCTACAGATGGACGTGGGGAAGTTCTTCCTCTACCTCCTCAGCCTTTTCCTTGTTACCCTCTCGGCCTCGGGCTTCGCCTTCTTCTTCAGCGCATCTGTCAGGATATTTGCTGTGGCCAACCTGTGCATTGCTCTTTGCTATGTCTTCATGATGGTAAGAACTTCACAATTCATGGTTTTATGCAATTTTAATTTCAAAAAATTGAAGAAATGAGACCTGAGGCCATGCCTGAAGGATCAATGTTAAACTCACTAAATAAAAGCAAATAATATTATTAAATTAAATTGTGAGCGGAACTGAAATTTCCTATTAATGTGGTATAGATATTTACTGTATGTTGATGTAAACTTCAGGTTTTTGGAGGACTACTGGTGAACCTAGACTCCATCGCTGACTGGCTCGAGTGGATTAAATGGTTCAGCATCTTCAGATACGGCATGAATGTATGTTTTACTGTTTATCACATGATTTTTGCATAATTATTTTTCACAGTTGTTCTTCTACCCACTTATACATGGGGATTTAATTTGTGAAAATAACTATGACTACCTATTATCCTTGTGTAATTGTACCTAAAGGAAAGTTGGGAGAATTTTGATTTTGCGATGGTCTCCTCGTAAATTAATACAAAAATAAATATCCCCTGAGATGTAAGTGATGAACATTATTTTACAGTTGAGTCTAACATATTTAGCCAGTTCTTTACAGGTAACACAACAGTTGTATCATTATGCTATAGTGAATTACATCGAAGCAAATGTTTAAAAGAATTAAATGTTGATTCAGTTTTGGTATACAGACACAGGTAGTGAAGTGATTTTTCTGATTAATGGGCATTGTTATAATATCTGGATGAATTTTTCTTACAGGCTTTGGTTATCAATGAATTGAAAGATTTGAACTTTTACAACAAGACATCAGGGGCAATATGGTAAGTTTGTATACATCAGGGGTGATATGGTAAGTTTATATACATCAGGGGCAATACGGCAAGTTTATATACATCAGGGGCAATACGGTAAGTTTATATACATCAGGGACAATATGGTAAGTTTATATACATCAGGGGCAATATGGTAAGTTATATACATCAGGGGCAATACTGTAAGTTTATATACATCAGGGACAATATGGTAAGTTTATATACATCAGGGGCAATACGGTAAGTTTATATACATCAGGGGCAATATGGTAAGTATATATACATCAGGGGCAATATGGTAAGTATATATACATCAGGGAAAATATGGTAAGTATATATACATCAGGGGCAATACGGTAAGTTTATATACATCAGGGGCAATATGGTAAGTTTATATACATCAGGGGCAATACAATAAGTTTATATACATCAGAGGCAATTTGGTAAGTTTATATACATCAGGGGCAATATGGTAAGTTTATATACATCAGGGGCATTATGGTAAGTATATATACATCAGGGGCAATATGGTAAGCTTCTAAATGGTACTGAACAACTTCAACAATTTGAAGATAAAATGTCAGACGAGGAGTGAAACATGGAAAGAGATTGTTTTTAAAAGATACCAGATGGCCTAATTTGGGTTTGAAAAGTGACGGTAGAGGGCTGATTTGAATAATTCCGTTGTGGGGCTCGAAATAATGTCAGGTGGGTGTTTATTCCACTCGGGTATAGTTCGAGGGAAGAATGATGCCTTTCTGGTCTGGGTTTTTGAGTGGGGAATTTGATACGAAAACTGGTGGTTTGTTCGGGATTTTCTAACTGTAGGGATTAATCTGTCTGATTTTACGATAGCGACTTTCTGGTTTACAATGTTATGAAGCATGGTCAGACGAGCATCTCTACGTCTATCTGCTAGAGGGCGCAGCTTTAGGTGGTCCAACATTTCTGACACACTGGAGGTACGATGGTTGTACCTGTGCTTATTGAGCACATAGCGCGCTGCCCTTCGCTGGACCATTTCCAACTTGTCAATATTTGTTTGGGTGTGAGGGTCCCATACTGTACAGGCATACTCAAGTGATGGTCGAACTAATGATTTGTATGCCTGTACTTTGGCTGATGTTGAGCCAATTTTAGGATTTCGTCTTAAAAAGCCTGGCATAGAATTTGCTTTTTGGCAGATAGTGTTTATATGTGAATCCCATTTAAGGTCAGATGATAGTGTTACACCCAGATACTTGGCCTGACTAAGATGTTCCAGTATGTGTCCATGTAAAGTATAATTATGGACTATTGGAGTTTTGTTTTTAGTCACCGACAAAACATTGCATTTGTTTGGGTGGAAGATAATTTTCCATGTGTTTTCCCAGAGCGCTAGTTTGTCCAGATATTTTTGAAGTGTTTCAGCATCACTGTTTGACTTGATAACTAGATATGCAATAGTGTCGTCTGCAAATAGATTGATTGTAGCATTTAGACCCACAGGGATATCGTTTATAAAGTAAAGAAATAAACACGGTCCCAAAACTGACCCCTGAAGTTCATGTACTAGTTATTGTAGAAAACATGTTGGGGTTGACTGATCAGTAATATTATTAAATAGTGCTGTTACAGATAATTGGAGGTTAAGTCAAAACTGTTTTCAAGAGTTATCCTTCTTTGCCCAGTCAAAAAGTTTATGATTACAATGTTTGTCATCGGAGGATGAATGGGGGTGTTCCAGTGTTGAAGTGTTATCATTGGCAGTCTAGTGGATTTTCTATTCCATAAATCTTCCTAGCATTGAATCAATTTTACATACAAATATCAAATCTGGCAGTCTGCAGCATGTCATTGAGAGAAACGGAACATTTTTATAGACTAAGCTGAACCATTAAACCTTTAGAAGGCTGTAAAGTAGGAAGTGCTGATGTGTGTGTGTACATCTCTGTCCCCACACTATGAAACGGGTTGTAAACTGTGGGTTAGATTTATTCAAGACGTAGACATTCCTGGTATAAAACGCTGGTTACTACCTATGTAGACTTGCTGTATAACAGTGAAACTGTCCTGAGAGACCTGTTAATGCCATATACTGATTCGCGTGTCCTTGGAGTTTCCTATGTAACACTACAACTACCTACACACACGATTCCTATATGATATTGTGATGTGTCAGAACTACACAAGGTGATCTGTAAATATTGTGAAATATGAACTAAGTGAAACCCAATTTATTGAAAAAGTTGATCACAGGATAAGGTCACCTTTAAGACTCAAATCATTAAAAAGTTTGTCTTTATTGCAAAAAAACCCCAGATTCTTGCTAGTACAGTAATTCAGCCGATACAACGATCTCACTGTTTCTGTGAACATGTCTGCATACTTGCATTACCATTGGTCCTGATATAAATGTACAGTTCAACATTGTTGGAAGGCAACTGCATGCATGCAATGTTGATGGCAATATTTTGCCTTATCGATATGTTGATAATGAATAAAATATACCATTAAACCAATGAAACTGATAAGATCTTGCCCTATCTTAGACCCAGTTTGTGTCATTTACATATATAGACAAAATTTAACGAAATTACCTGAAGGCTTCACATTACCATGGCAATTGTATATTGATACTCCCACTCGGACCAAACTTACCCTACCCTGTACCTAATTGTAATTATTCACATACATAAAATAAAATAAGAAGTACCAGTAATTTTTTTATGTCTGAAAAAATTGATGCAGCTAGGATACATGTCACTAGGCAGTGTGATCCATGGTATATTTTAGTGAGGCTATTCCGGTCTTTAGCTGATGACCAAGGTCTGAAATATTTAAGTCAAAGTTCAAATTCAACTTTTGTTCAGATAATGTTTTGATGAAACTAAACAAACATATGAACCATGACTACAGAATTTGAATCATTTTAAAGTTAAATTCATAGAAATATGTATTTATCATATATACCCATTTAAGGAGTTGTGTTTCAAAGTTTTGTTCCAGCATTCAAATGCAGACATAACCCAATTCTATGTTCTCTGTATGAGTTGTTCTCCATTGTCTGTATCACAGTTAAAGGTCAAAGCCCTTGTTTTGTTTCTCTTTTTATGATCTTTTGATAAAACAGTGTGTCATATTAAATGCATTGCTTTGACCAATTAGTTGTTAAGACTTCTTGAATGATGTCAGACTTGTGTTGCATGGTTTCGGAAACCTTTGCTTATAAAGACGCATTTTAATTTGAAACCTGTTTAAGGGTTGGAATTATTGATGGGCATATTATATTCTGTTTTGTGTACTCTTGTTAAACAATATAATATTGAGACTTATAATTATGTATTTCAGTGGCAGTGGGAATGAAGAGTTGTTGCGCCAGGGCATTTCGTTTGAGACAGACTGGGACCTGTATCAGAATCACGTGGCCCTTATCTGTATAGCCTGCATCCTGCTGTTCTTCTCCTACTTACAGCTACTCCGGGTGAAGAAATTCAAATAGACTGGGCCAGACAGGACTGGTTGTTTTAGCTAATATATGTGTGCAACAAGTGTTCAATCGTATATATATGCTCCCAATCAACTGCAAATGTCACAAGGAAAATGACATGTTTTCAAAGTTGTGAACTCAAGATGCTATAGATACGAGTGTGCAGATATGCTTGTTGTAAGGTCTGAGATTAACTTATATTTTCTATTTCAGGTACCTTAAAAAGATTTTAACTGTAGTGTTATGTTATTGACTGAGGATAATAGAAATATTTGATGAGACCAGATCTTTGTATCAATTCATAAGTAAATTCGATTGACAGGCATTTATATAATGTTACTGTCTACTGGGAATTTTTCAGAAATATTCACTCTTAGTCAGTAAAATCCATGTTTCTCCGATCACTATATCTAGCGTACTGTGTACTAATATCTGCTGTCAAGGTCAATTCACTTTCATTACAGAAGGTTAAAAAGGTGGAATTTGAACTACAACAAAAGATTCCCAGTATACACGAAATGTTTGAATTCTGTAACAATGTCAGGCACTTCTGGTACAGTTTTATCTAGTGTAATACTTGATAAAGGACGGAGTGAAGATGTCATTCCCCTAAATATTTACCTCAGACGTGTTGGTGGTTGGGACAGCCACTCGCGACACATAACTATTTGTATAAGAATGATTTGAAAATAAACCACCAATTTAAATTCAAATACAATTTTAAGATATTTCTGTTCGACAGTAGAGTATAAGATACCATTATGTTCAGTGCTCCCTTGACTAGTCCCTTATTGACCACCGTGTCCTATATGCATGCAGCAACACATGGCAGGAAGGTAATCAAAAGGGCACTTTTTTCTATATATATGATTTTGCAATGTTATATTTTTAGTTGTAAATATCCGATCAGATTTGTTTTACACAAATAAAGCTCAATGAACAACACCTTCATGACATAAACTGTGATAATGTTATGTTCATATATATCAGTGTTAATACCTATTGTTTACTTATGTGTGTTAAACCAATCGGTTGTTTACCAGTACGTGTTAAACCAATCAGTTGTTTACCAATGTGTGTTAAACCAATCAGTTGTTTACTGATGTGTGTTAAACCAATCAGTTGTTCACCAACACGTGTTAAACCAATGAGTTGTTTACCAATGTGTGTTTAACCAATCAGTTGTTTACCAATATGTGTTAAACCAATCAGTTGTTTACCAATGCGTGTTAAACCAATCAGTTGTTTACCAGCTAGTGTTTAACCAATCAGTTGTTTACAAACGAGTGTGAAACCAATCAGTTGTTGATCAACACGTGTTAAACCAATCAGTTGTTTACCAATGCATTTTAAACCAATCAGTTGTTTACCAACAAGTGTTAAACCAATCAGTTGTTTACCAACAAGTGTTTAACCAATCAGTTGTTTACCAACAAGTGTTAAACCAATCAGTTATTTACTGTTGAGTGTCATGGTTCTTGCCAAAGTTATGGCGGGATGAATTAGTGCTCCCTTTTCTTAACTAAGGTATAAGAGTTCTGTGATAATGTATCCTTAACAAATAGTCACACTGGTGGAAGATTTAGTATTTATATGTTGGGTGTATTTTGTATTTATATTCCGTGAATCTATAGTTATAAACATGTAGTTAAATATATAATACAGTATTTTATAATCCACCTTGCCATCCTAACTCACTAATTTTACTTTATGGTTTCATTACCTGGTCAGGCATATCTTGTCTATTAACAACTAACTTCAGGTTCTCTCACTCCTTTTAATCGTCATGCTCGGCTAATTATTCAGCTTAATCGTGGAACAGCTTTTGACGAAATTCTATCGTAGGAACATTTTTGACATAACAAGAAATATTTTTACCAAACAAAATTAGAAAAAATGAAAATCAAGATTGTTGTTTTCCCCTCAAGGTGATAAGGTAAAACTATAAGGTATAGTAAACTAGTGGCTCTATTTGATTCCATAAAGACCAAGCCAGAGATAACTACAGTGTATAACCAACATTGTGTACCTAGCTGTCTGTAGTAGTTGTAAATCTTTCATTCTTCATGTAGAAATATATATATGTAACTATCCACAGGCAGGAGTTTATTAGTCCAGTACTGTAGAAGGAAAAGATTGACAGGAGAAGCATCATATTTACGGCCATGTATTGTCACCTAATAATCTATTTTCAGAAACACATTTCAAATAAGCTGAGTTTAATGCTGTCGATTATTATTTTAATTGTCGGTGTGGTGACATGCGCCCTTATAATGGTGTGCAGGGCATCCTAGGGGACGGTGTAATAATTATATAAGTGATAATACTTTGTTTAGTTATAGCAAGCCAATGTTTGTTAAATCTGTGTACGGGTTATCTGACCAATGGGAATTACCAACACCGGCACGTGTAAGATAGCACGTCGACAGACGATTTAATAATGACTGGAAATTATCAGATGTTTTCTCCTCTTGATTTGAAAAAAAGAAAAATCCATTTTCCAGACTGAGGAATGAGGGTAGATTTCGTCTCCAAGGGCCCATTTGAATATTTTGCAACTACTACTGTGGTTGTTTATTGTATTTAGTCTAATAAACCGATTTTATTGGGATCATGAAAGTTAAATCTTTCCTTTGCTCTCCGGATCAGTGAAATGCCAGCCAAGTTAATTGTTTATCATTACCAGTACATATTTTGCGGTTAAATATAAGATGTAATTGTTTTTATATGTTATTCAATAAAATGCTTATTTCAAGTCTCTCTGTAACGTTGTTGTGGTTTTTAGCTCACCTGGCCCGAAGGGACAAGTGACCTTATGCGATGGTGCAGCGTCCGTCGTCCGTCGTCCGGTGTCAATATTTTACTTTAAACATCTTCTTCTTAATAACCAAAAGGCCAAGGGTGATGATATTTAGCCAGAAGCAAACTAGGATGAAGGGCTACCAAGTTTGTTCAAATAAATGACCTTCACCTATTTTCAAGGTCACAGGGGTCAAATATGTTAACATTTTTAAATAACCAAAATGCCCAGAGTGATGATTTTTGGCTAGTAGCATGCTGGGATGAAGGGCTACCAAATTTGTTCAAATGAATGACCTTCGTCCATTTTCAAGGTCACAGGGGTCAATTGTCTTAAAAAATCTTTATACAACTTCTTCTGAATAACTAAGAGGCCTAGGATAATGATATTTGGCCAGTAACATGCCAGAATGAAGAGCTACCAAGTTTGTTCAAATGAATGACCTTTACTTATATTCAAGGTCACAGGGGTCAAATATGTTAAAAACCTTTAAACAACTTCTTCTCAATAACCAAAAGGCCTAGGATGATGCTATTTGGCTAGTAGCATGCTGTAATGAAGGGCTACCAAGTTTGTTCAAATGGATGACCTTGACCTATATTCAAGGTCACAGGGGTCAAATATGTTAAAAACCCTTAAACAACTTCTTCTGAATAACTAAGAAGCCTAGGATTAAGGTATTTGACCAGTAGCATGCTGGGATGAAGGGCT